ACTAGATCAGGGCGTTATGTGTACGGTGTACAACCTATTATGTGATAGTCTAGATCAGACTAAACCAAACCTGGATCACGGCGTTATGTGTAAGGTGTACAACCTAGTATGTTATAGTCTAGATCAGAAAAAACTAACCTAGATCACGGCGTTATGTGTACGGTGTACAGCCTAGTATGTCTCATATAGAGGCCCACCCCTCTACCACTACGGGCATTGACATCCTGTCTTTATTAATAATGATAAAGTTCCTTACCCCTTCTCAAAGTGCAGATTTTAAAGATTTCACTAAATTTCTCTATATTGGCTCTCTCCCCTCTGCACCTAGGATCACCACATTCTCCATTGATCCAAAGTTGAATATATTTGGCCTAAGGATGCTCCAAAACAATTGAGGCTAAACTCCCGTTTTACATATTCAGGAAGTAGGATTTTTAAACTTGACCTACCTTGTTAGCCGGGATGTTTGAGTTTCTAATAGAAGGAAGGAAATCAATCCTTAATTAATGCACAAAAATACACACTTAAAAATATAAACACCAGACAAATAAATGCACGTAAATCTGCGCACACAGTTGAAAACTTATTCATATGAGAACAAATTTTAAACACGTAAACAAAGGAGAGAAACACACTTTAACATCTAAGCACCAACATAATAAATGCATTAAAAACCTAACCATACTCATTTTCATGTTGCATCAGCAAATTATTCACTCCAAACCTTAACGCATGAAAAAGTATACACTACAAATAAAAAATCAAAGCAATACTCAAAACATGAACGCCTGTAAAATGTAAAATACCAAATACAAAATCTTTGTAGCAGACATATACCCGCTCCAAAACCTGCGCTCAATGCACTTACCAAAAACAAAAACCTTACTCAATCACTTACTCACTCAAAGCAACTAAACAACATATTTAACTGATTGTTTGATTAACTCACTCTCTCGTTCAGGCTTTCACTAGACTCTCCTACATGTATATTGATAATAATAACTCTATTTAATGAGGATCAACCTTTATTAAAAATCATCCTCTACATTTATAGAGAGGACCTTTATATATAAAAATATGCTGTGTAACACGTACATTGCACACACAACAGATGATGAACTATTTACACCAAAATATTAAGACGAAAGTATTTTTCATTTAAAGGATAACTTACCATCAAAATGAAAAAAGAAAATGTAGTTTTTTAATTTCAAAATAACTTTCAGAGACGGAACTCATTTTTATCATATTTGGGTAATATATTCCGTATGATTGCGCCTAAATAATGAATTGCATTTAACTCACTGGGCACAAAGACAATATGACCTGATGTCGTAGCCCAGGCTCTGTCGTTTGCCAGTAGTCTGTTCTTCTGTCCGTCCATCGATCCGTTTTCAGCTCAACTGGCCTTTTCGGGCCAGGTGAGGTTATGCCGTGATGCGTGGTCCATCGTCCGTCTGTCAGCCGTCTGACGTCCGGCGTCACAGTAGTCAAAAATTGAAAAACAATTAAACAACTTCTGAAGAATAACCAAAATGCCAAGGTGATGATATTTGGCCAATAGCATGTTGGAATGAAGGGCTACCAAGTTTGTTATAATGACTGACATTTACTTATATCCAAGGCCACAGGGGTCAATTGTCTAAATAAAACTTTAAACAACTTCTTCTCAATAACCAAAATTCGCAGGATAATGATATCTGGCCTGAAATATGATGGGATAAATGACTACTAAGTTTGTTCAAATGAATGACCTTGAAATTTGTTCAAGGTCACAGGGATCAAATATGTTCAAAATCTTTAAACGACTTCTTCTGAATAACCAAAATGCCTAGGATGATGTTATTTGGCCAGTATCATGCTTAGATAAAGGGCTACCAAGTTTGTTCAAACAAATAACCTTCATCCATGTTCAAGGTGACAGGGGTCAAATATGTTTAAAACATTTTAACAACTTCTTCTGAATAACCAAAAGGCCCAGGATGTTTATTTAAAGCCAGTAGCATCAAAATGAAAAAAGAAAAAGTAGATTTTTACTTTCAAAATATTTTTCAGAGACTTAACTCATTTTCTATCATATTTGGGTAATATATTCCGTATGATTGCGCCTAAATAATGAATTACATTTAGCTCACTGGGTACAAAGCCAAGATGACCTGATGTCGTAGCACAGCCTCTGTCATTTGCCAGTAGTCTGTCCTTTTGTCCGTCCATCGATCCGTCATCCGTTTTCAGCTCACCTGGCCTTTTCGGGCCAGGTGAGGTTATGCCGTGATTCGGGGTCTATCGTCCGTCTGTCGGACGTCTGGCGTCAATATTTTACTTTAGGCAACTTCTTCTTAATAACCAAAAGGCCTAGGGTGATGATATTTGGCCAGAAGCAAACTGGGTAGGAGGGCTACGGTCACGGTCGTCATATGTTTAAATCTTTTAATAGGTTCTTACGAATCAAACACTGATATTCTGCCTGTAGTTGTATTGTAGTCAACTTTTGAAATTACAAGTGTGAGATTAATACCAGGTGAGCGATTCAGACCCAAGGGCCTCTTGTTTCCAAACGTTTTTTAGGCGATTGGAATTTAGAATTGTAGAAATGGTGGCAAACCTCTTTTGAGAGAAGCTGCGAGCATTTGGAAGCTATTCCATGTAGTTGGGGCTCGAAATTGTACAAATGTAGGAAATTTTACTATTTTATTTTCATATATATCAACCAAAATGAGAAGAATCCCTTTGCTAGTTTCAAAATTGTACATATCAAGGGACTGACACCCATGAGGTGCAGGAATTTATTCAACCATATTATTAAAGCATGCTATGATTGTTTCACTAACCAGATGAGCAACAAACTTCGGGGCTTCTTCATATTTGTTTTAAATTTAGGGCGATGGATATTTCAATAGGGGGATGAATGTCTTAAGAATAAAATAGGCATCATGATAGGTACTTATTGTAAAGAAAATTATGAATTTTGATTGGAAACTAGTGCGATGGGCGGGGCTTAACATTACTGAGTCCTGTTCTACCGCAGACCAGAACAGGCTTTGTATCCAATCGAAACACACTGCAGATTTATTTCAAAAGAACCATCTATCAAACTTACCAATAATCTGATTATGTTTCTAAACAATCTATTCGATATTTATTTATTAATACATTATCTTCATTATTCTGGGGTAACCCGATATGTCAAATTAGACAGCACCCGCATTGGATTGGATTACAGACCAAAAAAGAATAGACCAACTTGGCATTACATTTATAGAATTGTACACCACTGCTGCATATGTAGAAGAAAAACATGAGTTTGGTAAAGATGCACATGATGTTTTCAAAATGTATAGCCAACATCTATAAGTAGATTGCTGGTGCAGTCCTGACACATAAACATGTCTACATTTATGAATAACTGTTTTCCCCAATAGACAATGCTAAAAAAGTAATAGTCGTTCTATTTTCTAGCTTCATCTCATCTCCTACCTCTCCGCAACAGCATTGACAATGGCTTCCAAGTATCTTTTCAACAGGGAAACCACTAATTTTGCTCGACTTAGTCGACTTATAATTGATGTCTGTCGGGATCTTTTAATATCAGTGTTGAAAGCTAAACTGCCACCCCCAGGACTTACCGCTATTCTGCAAAGTCAAAAAGTTCAGCTTTTACAAAATCTTGAACCTCGTCAGCGACAGATTCTTTATCCTACAGGTGGAGTGTTTTCAGGTACCCTGGAAGACTTGGACTTCCCAATTCTATATAAACTACTTAGAAACTTCCTGGGAATCAATATTCCACCACACCGGTCTGGTTGGGGTAGGACACCAGACCCAGCAGACAGGTCACTTTCGGCTAATATTGACCGGTTGAGAGTCCATCGAAATGAAGCTTATGGAAACCTTCCAACTGTATCACTATCTGATTCAGAATTCAATAGTAGGTGGAGCCTCATCCGTCAGAGCGTGTTTGAAATAGAAAAAGACGCTTTGATTGGAGACACATACGTAAAAGCAGTGGATGCTCTACTGACCAATGACATAGATCCTGATGCAGAGAAGCGTTATATACAAGAAGTACTTATGAAAACAAAAAAGGCGGAATCGGAGGTCAAAGGTCAGTATGCTATAGTTACAACTCGATGGGGGCAGAAGGGCGGGCCCAACAGGGGAAATAGAGGTAAAACCTTTAAAATCCTTCTTCTACCGTAGGGATTAAGGAATTTTATCCTTATTTAGTCTGGAGCCTTCTTTGGCCAAGGCGACTCAATTTTGTATAAATGGTGAGACTGGCCCCCCCTGGGGCTGAGGGGCGGGGCCCAATAGGGGAAATATAACAAATTCTCTAAAATCCTTTCTTCTTCTGTAGGAATAAAAGGATTTGGTCCATATTTGGTCTGAAGTATTTTTAGGTAAAGGGGAACCAATTTTGTATAAATGGTGGGTCTTGCTCCCTTTGGGGCTGAGGGGCGGGGCCCAATAGGGAAAATATAGCAAATTCTTTAAAATCCTTTTTCTTCTGTAGGAATGAAAGGATTTGTTCCATATTTGGTCAGAAGCATCCTTGGGTGAAGGGGAACCAATTTTGTATAAACCGTGGGTCTGGCCCCCAAGGGGCCTGAGGGGTGGGGCCCAATAGGGGAAACATAGCAAATTATTCTTTAAGTCCTTCTTCTTTTGTAGGAATGAAAGGATTTAGTCCATATTTGGTGTGGAGTATCCTTGGGTAAAGGGGAACCAATTTGGTATGAACAGTTGGTTTGGCACCCCTGGGACCTGGGGGACGGGGTCCAATAGGCAAAATAGAAGTAACATCTTTATAATCCTTCTGCTACCATAGGGATTAAGGGATTTTATCCTAATTTAGTCTGGAACATCCTTAGGCAATAGGGACTCAATTTCGTATAAACAGCGGGTGTGGCCTCCCTGGGGGCAGAAGGGAGGGGCCCAATAGGGGAAACTTAGCAAATTCTTCAAATACCTTCCTCTTCTGTACGAATGACAGGATTTTGTACAAATTTGGTATGAAGCATCCTTGGGTTAAGGGGTACCAATAATTTTGTATAAACGGTGTGTCTAACCCCCATGAGAGAGGCGGGCCCCAATAGTGGAAATAGAGGTAAAACCTTTAAAATCCTTCTTTGACCATTTGGATTAAGGGATTTTATCCTTATTTAATCTGGAGCATCCTTGGGTCAAGGGGTCTCAATTTTGTATAATTGGTGGGTATGACCCCCATAGGGGCATAGGGGTGGGGCTCTGTTTACGTTTGTTCTATATCTCAAGTACTGGATGGATCTTTCTGAAATTCCATATGTACTTTCAGCACCTACCATGGAATGCTATTTCTTTACTGCATACCAATTATTTTAAACATATGCAGATGAGCGATACAGGCACTCTGGGCCTCTTGTTTAACCAAGACTTCTTTCCATATGTTGTAAAGCGCTTAAGAGTATATTTTGATATTATATAGGCGCTATATTATTGTTGTAATTTAATATTTTTCATCCTTTTCACCTGAACGACGCCTGTAGCCCGCGCTGGGTTTCAAATACTTTATCATCTGGTAGGTTCACCAGACTTTGCAAAGATTCTTGGCATTAAGCCGCTGGCAGAGGTGTTTGTGAGTGCAAGGAACGACATATCTGGGTAGAGATTGGGCTTACCACTAATCTGTAAAATAAGCGGAACAATTTCGACTTTTCGATCATGAATTTTCCCTTTCTCGACAGAAGCATCCCAGCTTTCCCAACCTCCTGGGATTATAAGTAGTAGTTGATTTGGTGTTCAAAAGCTTTCTCCGAATATCATCACCTCTGTGATATCGACTGCTGACGGATAAAAAAATTGGAATAAAGGGTTTCAAATGTCGCAGGCTAATAGGACTATTGGGAATTTTTACGGTTGCAATCATGTTCCCACAGGGACATATGCAGTTTCTTAGTGTGATTATACTTTGCCCTTACTTTGTCCTAGTTTTAACAGCTCATGGTTGCTAGCGGTAGTGAAAAGTCATGTACTACCCTAGCAAGTATCCCTCCAGCTACCCATTCTGCCTCTTGTGTCAGTATCAACCCCCGGTACAAATAAAAAAAACTACGTAGATCCATGTGGTCTCGTTTTAGTCGAACAGCCAACTACCATATCATATTGTTTCGTCCTTTTAAGCCACGCCTGATTTCCTGATCATTCATTCAATTACTGCAGCTTCACATTCCAGAAGATGTATAACCTCGAAAGTATGCGGCTCTCCACTTTGAAAAAGGGTGGCTACCGTAGACCCCCAGTTGAGCCTGCGAACCGCGTCTAGTCATTGTTCTTCGGCAATGAGGCGTCAAAAAAAATGATATTTTACGAATTCATCAACAACAATTAAATATGACATTTAAACTATAGTTTTGTGTATCGTTTTTACATGAGTTGGCTGTATTGAACTACAACGTAAACCATTATGTTGTATGATGGTCCTCAATAACGGATTGTATTTTTTTACATAACGTCAAAACGTAGTCTTGCACAAGCTCCAGAACCTGAGAGAAACGATCATAATGGACTTCACAAGTTCCAACTACTAAAAACACGTTGATTGAAATAAAAGGTTTGATTTTTTTAAATGTAAAAGATACAAAAATGAAAAAAAAAATCGAACTAAGCATATGAACCAACCATCACTAGTTCGGAACTTCCAAATAACTAACCTTTTCGAAGACATGTTGAACCCAAAGAATGAAAGATTTGTTTTAATTTTACTTCAAATGTGAATTTTCAAATTCGCCTACTGTCAGAATATTTGAAAAAAACGACACTGCCATAATCGAAGAACAAGTGAAGCTGGAGTGTTCTATATATGCAACTCCGAAGATTACAACAGTTTCCTGGCAACGTATTTTACCCAAGGGGTACACAGTAAAACTGGATATTGATGAGATAAAATATACAGGATCAAATACGAATGACCCCCACTTAGTAATCGACGACATCAAGAAAAATGACGAAGGCAACTATGTATGTACCGTCTCAAACTCGTATGGGAAAAGGCACAGTGCACCTTCTTAGCTGAAAGTAAAGGGAGGTAAAAGCTTAAATTTGACATTTTTTTCTGATCACGACAAATGCGTATCAAAGTGTAAAATATCGCAACTACTTTTCCCGAATGATTTCCCACACTTTTTTTCTGTTTTTCTCATACACAAAGAACTCAGAAGTAGAACCACTAATAATAACAGTTTTCTACTCTCAATCTAAGTTCCGAAACAAACAAAATAATGTTACTGACGCTTTGTTTTGTGTCATGATAAATGCATTAAAGGTTATATGTATTGGTTTTAAATTAACCCTTGCTCCACCAACACTAAATATGAACCTGACAGACCACCAAAGAACTGAAGGAGAACCTGCGGTTTTAAAATGCTATATCAATGCGAAACCACAAGCATCTGCTATTACATGGTACAAAGATGAAGAAGTAAATGGACGTGAAATTGCAATTGACATTATCAAATATTTTGGTGGTTCAGTGGACTTTCCCTCGCTGGTAATAGATCAAACGGAAAAAAACTGAATGACGAGGGTAAATATATTTGTGAAGCAGACAATATTGCAGGATCTGGAAGCATTTCCGTTCTCTTTTCTGACAATAAATAGTAAAACTGCAAATACCGAAACAAATAAGTTATAATTTGTTTTTCTAAACGCTGATAAGGTTGTCAAAACACTGCGTCTTTTTACGGAAGAGCTTGGTAAATGTTATTTATCATATTGATGACATTGTTGAGACAAAGTGTAGTTTAAATATGCATTTTATTCCGATTGTCATAGAGTCTCTTTTCGATAAAATGTATATAAAGTGTTTATAAATTGTTCGTTTCAGGTGCTGACGCAGCAACTGTAAACCAAGACATTTCTGAAGCGCTACAGGAAAAGATTGCAATGTGTCATTCAGAGATGGTGATTGAGTTAGCTGACTCTATCTATCCAGCTGCTTGGTGTTGGCCAGCTTTCAAACAATTGTTATCTATATATTTAGATCGGACAGACCTTGCGGAAGAAAACTTTTACTATTACGTAGATAAACTTCTAGATTGTGAGTGGATTGATCTCGGCCGATATCGCCGATTGTATGACGTTGTTTACATAATAAATAAAAAGGCCTCTTGCATTATCAAAAAGGCGGAATCAGATATAGAAGCAATGAAAAATGGAGGTAAGTATCATTTATTAGCTGCCGTACTGCGGCATTCGTCCGTCTGTCCGTCCGTCCGTCCGTCAACTTTTTCTTTGAGCAACTTCTGAAGAACTCGAGGGCGTAGGGTTATGCTATTTGGCCAGTTGGTACCTGGGATGGTGTGCTATAGAATGTCCTCATCAAAATGACCTTTATCTACATTCAAGGTCACAGGGGTCAAATATGTTTAAAACTTTAACAATCTTCTTCTCAAGTTCTATAATGCCCAGGGTCATAATATTATGCCAGTGAGTAACTGGGATGGAGTGCTATAAACGTTCCTTATTAAAATGACCTTTAGCTACTTACAAGTCATACAGATATGGGGATTACGTTAGCTAACGTTATATATCCAACTGCTGACTGTTGGAAAGATTTTAGACATCTTTTATCTTCATTTATAATAAGAAAAAAATCTTGAAAAGGACGACCTTCGCCATTACGTAGATAACCTCATGATATGCTGGTCATTGATCTCGGCAAATATGACAAATTAAAAAACGTTGTTTACAAGATACATAAACGGGACTCCCGCATTATTGAAAAGGCGGAATCAGATATAAAATCAGTGCAAAATGGAGGTCAGTATCATTAATCTTATTTATATATCAAAAGATTTTCAATTAAACTAATGGCAAATAAAATATCGTCTGTCGTTGATGTTACAAGTTTTCTCGTGAACTGAAATGTGGTTTGTGTTAAAGTTGTTGTAACTACAATATTTTTTAGACTGTTATCATAAATAAGAAAATATCTTTGTTTTAGGGAGGCCAAAGGAAATAGCTTTTCAAGTCGAAGGCAATTGGAAGTGTGATTTCGAAAAAATAAATCCAGAAAGGTGGACGTCTCATGTCAAAGAGCAGTTCCCAGATATGAAAGCGAGAATAACAGGAATAGGTGGTTCAGGTAATATGACCGCCATAATTCTTAAAATTTATTAAATTGACATATGTAACAATAGGCAAATCTGTCCCTTTATCCGACTATCACGTTTTAGTTTCCATACAATGACTGGTCTAAATGGTCTGATTTCTACGATGGCCGAAGGCGGCCAGGCACTTTTGAAGCATTTATAGTTCGTTTGTGTACCATGGTACACTTTTGTGTGGTACACAAACGAAGCATTTATACTTCGTTTGTGTACCACGGTACACTTTTGTGTGGTACACAAACGAAGCATTTATACTTCGTTTGTGTACCACGGTACACTTTTGTGTGGTACACAAACGAAGCATTTATACTTCGTTTGTGTACCACGGTACACTTTTGTGTGGTACACAA